CACAACTTACACCCCAGCCTTGAGGCACGGATAGGATCTACATTTTTCAAGAATTCTGCTTTGCCAGGGAAGTCATGAAAAGAACAGTTTTTTTCCCACTCCCCAGTGTGTGCACACATGCATTGTAAACACCTAAGTGTGTGGGTGCGTGAACCAGCCTGTGCGTGTGGAGCCCAGAGCAGAGCACTGGGTATCAGAAGTCTTGCTGAGGGTCTTACTCCTTTGAGAGTCTTCCCCTGACCCGAAGCTTGCTGTTTCTGCTAGGCTGCCCTGCCAGGGACCTCTGGGGATCTGTGGGTCTTTGCCTCCCCACGCTAGGTTTGCAGACCCACACAGCCATGCCTGGTATTTTACAGAGTACTGGGAACTGAAACTCAGGTCCTTATGCTTGCAGAGCGAGCACGGTTGCCCACTGAGCCATCTGCTCAGCCCCGCCCCCAGAGTACAATCCTAAGGAGTACTTGAAGCTGGATAAGGAGCATCTTTTGCCCCCCAGGTGTCCCACTTGTCAACCCGGGGAAGTGAATAGAGTTCCTAAGTAAGGAAAAGGGTAGACCCTGAAAATCTCTTATCATCGGCTGGCGTCCTCTATCCCAATGAAGTGAGCTCGTGGGAGGTAGATTCTTCAGAGCACTGAAAAGTCGTGGCCTGTGTAGGTGGGGATGGCCTAAGTTGAGGGCCGGCAGACATTAGACTCTTGTTAGTGGACGCTAGGTAGTAAAGATGGAAGTTCATCTTCAGCTGTCCTTTAGAAAACTGCTGTGCTGTTATCAAGCAGTTGCTGACGTGAACAAGGTGTCCTCCACACCAGGACAGGATTTGTGACTTCTCTTATCACTGACATGAACGAGGTGCCCTCTGTGTGCCAAGACTCATTTCCGTAAAGGGGAGCAAGCTCCTTTCTCTTTTGCCCACTTGTGCAAAAGCGGTCAGGAATCTCCGCAGCCTCCGCTCGCTAAGGAAAGGCAGCCAGTTCCCCGGAGTCCGGGGTAGGTAGGTAACAAGTTGGTCAGACCTCAGGGCCTTCATTGGCTCTCTGACTTACAGACGACGACCACTGGATTATCGACACGGACTACGACACCTTCGCGCTGCAGTACTCCTGCCGCCTGCTGAATCTGGACGGCACCTGTGCGGACAGCTACTCCTTCGTATTTTCTCGTGACCCCAATGGCCTGACCCCCGAGACGCGGAGGCTGGTGAGACAGCGGCAGGAGGAGCTGTGCCTAGAAAGGCAGTACCGGTGGATCGAGCACAACGGTGAGCAGGTCTTCCTGAGGGGGCGTGGCTTGGCTGGGCCAATAGGAGGGCACTGCATCTGTGTAAGAGAGTGATCTGAGGAGTCCCCTTTGGTCCTGTCTTGGCCCTTCTTGACTAAATCTTTCCCAGGGCTTTGTCGTCAGCCACATGGAGAAGGAACCAACGGTCCTTTCCCCCCAAATCTTGGCACTTTTTGGTAAACAGAACGGCAGGGCCACTCTCCTTTCCTTTCCTTTTATTTACTCCTGGTGCCACAACCCACAGAAAGTGTTCCGCAGGAATTAGAGTGTGTTGGTGACGAGGTGTCCCCAGGAAAGAACTGGGTGGAACATACAGCCATTTTATACAAAAACCATAATCAAAAACAGCAGTGTAGCAAGTCCTGAAGAGATGGGTGCCTGCAATGTTCTTTATTCTTTACAAAATCAAGGATCACTCAGTTAGCCTCCTGGGTTGCTTAGGGAAAGCCCCTGGGATAACAGAAGGATGGTGTAATAGCTGTTGCCCTTAACTGATCCTAATTTAATACTCGGAAGCGTGGAGAAGTGTGCTGTGTACTTTGGACTAGCATGCACTCACTTCTGTGGGCAGTTGGACTTCAAAATCCAAAAGTGGTCATGCTGAAGTTTAGAAAAAGAACATTTTTCTTGGGCATCTCAATGGTCCAGTGTGCCTACAATGTGAGCTCAGACATACAGAGATAGGAAAGTGCCACCCTGGGGTGGTGGGGAGCTGAACGTGGGGCTAGTGAAGGATTATGTCACTTCCAAGCACTAAGCCTTTCACTTAAGTCACCTCAGTTAAACCTGGGACATGCTTTATAAAGTAGGAACATTAGCTATACATATTCTACCAATGAGAAAAGTGAAGACTAAGAAAAGCTAAGTACGTTGCCAGAGATCTTCAGTCGATAGCTAAGTCAAATAGAAACTCAGATTTCTGTCACTCTTGAAGTCCCTTGTGGTGCCTCCTGGTGACACGGGGCAGGAACATCATGAAGACTATGACCTTACTTAGGCTGACGTTAGCCTGGCATGGTCCTCGTGTCCCAAGGTAGGAGGATGGGCTACAAGGCACTTGGGGATACAAGGTCAGCATAAAAGGAAACCGAACCATGCAGCAGGTTTCATGCCCTCAGCGTGGCTGCTCCCTGGAGAATTCAAAGACCTTCAGCATCAACTGTGGGAGAATTTGTGAAGTACAGCCACACAGAAGCATTTGAAGGGCCGCTGGCTCTTAAGGCTGCCTGGGTGTTCATTTGTATGCAAAAGCACTGTCCAGCTCTCTGTCATTAATGGTTTTATTTTCTGTATTTCAGGCTACTGTCAAAGCATACCCTCAAGAAACAGTTTGTAGCAACATCAAGGATGCGAAGTTCCTTTGACAACTTCTGATTAACTCTCGTCCAATCTCCATCTCTATTTATCTCAGAAGTCTAGTGTCCCCCACCTCTCCTTACCTTCTCTAGGTGGACGCTCAGCTGTCATCGGTAGGATAAACACATGCATGGGAATGACTGAATCTCTTCGCACAAACGTTTATCTTACTGAGGTTCCCAGAGAGACCGTTTGAGGCTTGGGATTCCAAACTCGATTTATTAAATGTATAGTCACCATCTTCCTAGAGTTGAAGACTTATTTGTGGTCTGCTTGCCGGTGGGCTGCACTTTTTGATGCCAGGACATTTTCTCGTCCCAGTCTCTGTGACCTTTGACCTGACCTAGACATCCCTGATCTCTATATTAGAGATTGGCTCCTAACTTCCTGAGAAAGGTTTTCCTCATTAATCTGGGAAGGCCTTAACAACAGCACTACTAAGGGTCTGAAACCCCAAGAGGAAGTAAGTGTGACCAGGCCATCAGACCCAAGGCTTTCAGTCCAGGGCCCACGAGGTGAGCAGGACGGGAGGCTCACCTCTCTCCAGACCTGGGAGGCCGAGAAACATGGGTCAGACTGAGCACAGGGAAGCCTGCTCTCACTGGCATGATTCTGGCATGATTCATTCACTTTGTACTTCAGATGGGGCCAAAACTGAAGAGCAGACAGCCTTGGTTCCAGAGGATCTTGGTTTTAAGTCTAATCCACTTTGGAGCTTGAGATCTGGGGCTGATTGTGTGGCTTCTCTCACTAAACTTGGGGAAGGAGTTAATCCTTGCCTGACAGGACAGAGTGAGAGACCACACCATGTCTGAGCATGGGAAAGAGCTGTGACAGCTCTGTGGGACAGGAGGACATCTGTGAAGTGTTTTGGAGGTGGGGGTGCTGATATTTCTAAGGACCATGGGGACCTCACACCAAACACCCGCATGCCTTGTTCTCCAGCAGAGGCAGAGGAAGCAAGTAGCCATACGTGAGAAAAGCCCAGCTTTTTACTCTCGTAGAACAAGCTGACACAGCCTGTCTCCTGAGCTTCAGTTCGATGTCACAGACCTAAGATACTCACATGTGCCTTCAAAATAGAGCACCAGTGTATCACATCTATTAACCAAATAGGAACAAAGACACCTTGTTATTTTGTCCATAATGTCATGGTCCCCATAAATCTTAGCCCTACGGGTTGGCATATCCTGGGACTCAGTCCTTGACTCTGGTTTCTTCCCGTTCTTCATCACAGGGACTATTTCATAAAACCACAGGTCCCTAAGCACCATCTGTATTTCCCAACAACATTGTAACACCAGGCCCGATTCTGGGTCTCTCTATCCAGTTCTCGGGCTGTCTCACTGGGATTGCAAGCACATGCTCTGAATGAAACCCGATTTGTTTCCCAGTCTGCCCCAGTTTGGTCGTCTGTTCCACTGTCTTAACGAGTGCCAGGCTCTAACCAGGAGACATCCTTAACTGCTGTCTTCCCTCATCTTCACCCTCCCTAAGCAAACTGTTCGTCCCTCCTTCCCAAGCATAACCCAAGATGATTTCACACAATCCTTCACGAACGCCACGCACCTTCAAGGTCCCATCAACTTTTCCTCCTCCAAGCAGCTGCGCACCTTGTCTCCATTTTTAGTCGTGCTCCTTCGAGCCTGTGCCTCGCCGAGGAGCCAGAGTCAAAGTGCTCATGGCTCACGTCTCCTGTTACAAACCTCCGGTGCTGCCCACCGAACCCTGCATGAACTCCTTATGCAGGCCTGCCAGGCCCTCCCTGACCTAGCGCTGGAACGTCATTGGCATCCGTCGATGGGCACCAGGGCAGCACCTCTCTCTCCTAGCATCAAGTACAAAGAAGGCTCAGTCAACGGTTTGCTCCTGGACCGCAGAGCTTGCCAGCCTCTCTTCCCGCAAAGGTCCTTCCTCTGAATCCACATGAGTGCTTCTTTCTTGAAGCCCTTAGCCTTTCAAGGCAACTGTTGCTCCTCAGTTTTTCCTGAACCCGCCCCTACCCCATATAAGTAACCATCACCCCCACAGCACCCTGTCCTACTTTCTCCTGGGTGCTTATTCACTCTAAGGTGCTCCAGTACTCACTGACTTGTTTAGCATTCATGGTCCCCCACCCCCATGAGAAGGTGAGCTCCCTGAGAACAGAGCCAGGGCTCTCATCCTTACCATGAGATTCCAAGCACAAAAACATTGCACAGCCATAGCAGATGTTTCAAAGGCCTCTGACGGATGGAGTGTTAAAGCAACCACGCCTGACCTCCCTCTCCAGCATCTCCATCCTTCCCCCTTTGAGTCTATGCTGCTGCTTCTGCTTTTTTTTTTTTTTTTTTTTTAAATAATATGCTGGGGGTTGAACTCAGGCTCACACACTTGCTAGGCAAGCATACTACCTTTGAGTCATGTCTCCTGCCCATTTTTAATACATGGGGGGAAAAAGTCACGTCTAATCGTTCCTTGGAATTTCTTAAGCAGTCTTGGCATGAATGAACAAATTATTTAAAGGCCTTATGTACCCAAGGTGGGGACTTAGGGTGGCCGTGACCTTTTACCAAGAAATTTGAGCCCTGAATCACCTCCAAGGTTTATTTCAGCAGTCACAAGGTACAAGTTTATGTGTAGGAACAGTTATAAATAAAATTTTATTAACTCAATCATATTACAAACACTAAAAAAGTCCATAAAAAGGAACCCATAGAAAGTCTTTTTAAGAAAAAATATTTTATACGGAGTGATCATTCCTTAATTTGCTGGCCCTGAAGATGTGTGCCATTGGAAGTTGGATTTTCTTAAAGCAGGGTACACCAGTGACTTCGTCAGAAGGCAACCCCCTTTACATGCACACAGCAGTTCACCTGGCTCCAGCTAGCTGGTTCTAGTTAGCTGGAAATAACAGACAAGTCATTTCGTCTGACTGACGTGTCTGTAAAAATGGCTCCCTTCTCTGGGAAAAAGAAGCAGCAAAAAATCTTCCTCCATTCGTTCCTGAGCAGCGACATGTTGTACAGGATGGGGTTCAGGGCGGAGTTGGCAAACGTGAAGGTCATCACCCAGAAGAAGAAGGACGGCCAGATGACCAGGTCCTGCCTGAAGTTCTGGATCAAGAGGAGGAGGATGGTGATGATGATGGGACTCCACATGATGAAGAAGGAGACCATGAGCAGGAAGAGGGTACGGAAGAGTCGGTAGTCCTGCTGGGACACTCGGATCTGGTGGCTTTCCGAGTACGCCAAGCTCAGCGTGAGCCTCTTCCTTGATGCCTTTGTGATCTGCAGGAAAACACAAAGAATTGGAGCCACAGGTCATGGCGGGAGTCAGGGGTCTCCTGTTGGCTGGTTTTTCTTTTGTGGCACTGAGGAAGAAAGCCCGGGTGGATTGGGGTGGGGCTAGAGACGGTAGGTTGCAGTCTGACTGGGCACTCCTAACCTGGAATGTGAAGGACATTGTATCTATCGGCCTGATGTGCCTGCCAGTCTGTTACCGCTGTCCCGAGGAAAGAGAGCCAATGGGTTGTGTCTTGACCATGTTAGTGGTCCTTACCAACTTCAGTTGCTGGGGCTGGCCCAGGCCCTGTCTCTCCTAGCCACGTTGCCAGTTCTGTACGGGGTGTGGGGCCTATTTTCCTAAAACCTGCATCTCAAGAGAGAAAGTAATTTTAATGTCATTAGCATCATTCACAATTTGGGCAAGTTTAGCTCATCAAAATGGCCTAAAATGTTCTCCTCACAATGCTTTTAATTCCCTAATTGAAGGAGAGATGCTTAACTACCGCCTGATTGCACGAGTGCCTCTCACTCTGTAACAGAGACAAGGACAGCGGGTGCCCAGTGAACGGAACCCTCTGAACGTGCCTGACAACCAGAAACGCCAGGAAGCGAGCAATCAGGACGGCTGCGCTTTCCTGTTGGCGCCCCGCCGCGTGTGAGACATTTATTTCACTGGCTGTCACCTTTAATCTTCGCATAGCCCCTGCGCTGTCACACCGCTGTTGTTCTTGCAAATCGATTCGCAGGAAATGTAAGTTACCAGCTGAAACTTATTTTCCTGCTACTAAATAGTAACAGCCCCCTCCCTAGGGGGTCCATACTACTTAGGGCCCCGCCTACTCCGCCGTGCCGGTGGGGGTGGCTCAGCAGACAGTTCCAGCTCCGTGGGGCTCAGGCTCTTGCAGGTGCCTGAAGGTGGCTGTGATAAACAAAGCGGCTGACTCATGGCCAAGCGCATGGAGGTCCCCCGCCCCCGCCCCGCCAACAGATGCTGCTTTTCCTCCTCATGCCACAGTCCCCACAGTTTGTACAATCAGGAAGAAAATGAGGCACTGTCGTAAAATGTGAGTCCTTCCTTGCTCCCCAGCCCACATTAGACAGCCAGACTCATCAGCATCTAGCCAGGGGTTCAAATGTGTCTGTCTTTGGTGGAATGTCTCCGGTGCTTTTATGAAGTGCTCCATTACCTTCTGGGGGTTAACTCTGATCCTCAAAACAAATGGGGGGGTCCTAGGGTTCTCCCACCTTGGGAGCCCCACACAGGGAAACCCCTGCTCTTCTTCACTTTGGCATATTGCACATTGGGAAGGGGCAGCGCTCATAAGAAACTGCTCTGTGACCACTGGGAACTTGGTAGAACACAAAATGTCTGTGAAGAAAAGTTCCTGGAAGGAGCTACACCTGCCACTAACCCTTCTGCAGGGCCGATGAGCCAACTAGAATGTCGGCGACATCAGAGAGGCCGGACTGCTGCAGAGCCAAGCCCAGTTATAATTTATCTTTGGCCACTCTGAGCACCCCTGATAGCTATTCCACACCTGTCTCTGTGTCTGGCCTAAGAGCCTTGAGGTGCAGCCATTTGTAATGTGTTTACTCAACGGGCCAGTCGCTTCCACTAAGGGCTAAGGATGTCATCAGAAGGCATCTGGGGCCTACAGCAGAGGTTTCCTTGTTTGGCTGTAGCTCACCCACCTGATGTTCCCACCAAATGCTATCTGAAAACCGTCTTACCGTCTTGGTTTGTGACTTTCTTTTTTCTGTTACTATTTAAAAAAAAAAAAAAACACTTCACAAAACAATTACCATACAATTACCATAAGGGAATATGGAACCTGGGAACCTGAGGGGAACCCTGAATCTATGATCCTGGGCCATGGCCACTCATATTTGGCTCCAGAATAAATTATGTCTCGTCATCTTTGAACTGAGAGTTGCGTTTTTTCCCCATGTGCAATGGGACCCACTTTGAGACACTTGGATTCAGTGAGGGGGACCCAGGGTGGCACACTTCTCTGGAACTGTCGAGGTGACTCTTGCTCACTAGGGCGTAAGAGGTGCTAATCCCATGCAGCTGCTTGGTTCGGACTTTTTCTCTCTAGACCTTTTTAACAAAGTCCATCTTTAAAACAGACCTTTTGTGACTCACTAGAGCCAGGAGGGAACCCTATTTCCACCCAGCACCCCTCTGCCATGCCAGGACATACCAGCTGGAGGCTGGCAGGGAAGGGGATTCCCACTGGCAGAAGCTGGGGCCCTGAGGGTTTAGCCTCCTCCGTGGCGCTCACTGGCTAGTCAGCAGTGTGCTGGTTAGGATAATCAGAGAAGACCCACCTTCCCAGAGGTCTGCCTCCAAAGAAATATGACTTTGGAGGAAAGCAAGAACTGGAGAGAGTAGCGTCAAGAAACACGTGAAAAAGCCAGATGGCAAAGGACTGGAAATGCCTCCCAACCCCCATGCGACAACAAAGCATGTTCAAGAAAAGCTTGCCTGCCATGTACGTGTGCAATATACAACCAAAGGAGAGCTAAATGCTATGTAAATTACCCACGAAGGGCTATAGCACTAGAGGCCCACTTTGGGGGTGTTTAACACAGAAGCCTTTCTCACAGCTCATTACATAAGATTACCCCCATTCTCAGGGATAGCTTCCTCTTAATAATCTACCTATCCCTATGTCTATTATTATGTGTCCCTGGTGCAGTTATTTTTTTCTAGAACACAAGGAAACTTCAACAGGTGCGTTCAGAACTCAGAACCCAAATCTAAGCCTATCACTTGACCACGGTCCCCAGTGGTAGGTAGTGAGGACCAGGCTTCGTGTTCTATTGAAGCAGATTTTTGTCCCTCAGCTAAACTCTGCGATAAGCAGAGGGAATTCCATCTGCATGCCATAGAGTCACTGGTTCATTCAACAAATAGTTACCGAGAAACATTTACCTTCTATATGCTAAGCTCTCTTGAAGAGGCTGGACCCAGAGCAAGAAGTAAGAGCATCCTGCCCAGACTGCACTCCCACGCCCTATGTATGTGGCCAGTGGAAGGGAGAATAAGAAGCACAGGAACACAGTTATAACGGCAGAGACATCACAGCCCATCATCCTTATAGCTGCTGGGTAAACTTGTAAGTCTTCTCACAAGCTGCCAGCCTTCACAGTCTGATCCAAGGCACTTAGGAATCACTGAGAACCTATTCCCTTGAGAAAACTGTCAATAGGAAAAATATTACTGGGGCTGGAGAGATAGCTCAGAGGTTAAGAGCATTGCCTGCTCTTCCAAAGGTCCTGAGTTCAATTCCCAGCAACCACATGGTGGCTCACAACCATCTGTAATAGGATCTGGTGCCCTCTTCTGGCCTGCAGGCATACACACAGACAGAATATTGTATACATAATAAATAAATATTAAGAAAAAAAGAAAAATATTACTGAAAACGTATGGTATGTCTGAGTCACAAGGAAAGAGGAAGCAGAGAGGGAAGAGGGCAAAAATAGTCACTGCCCAGCACATGAAACAAGATCAGTAGGGGAAGAGGCAGCTGGATGCCTACTCTGAACCGTTGCTCAGGTCAGAACCAGCGAAGCTTAGAGCAGGGCTTCCTACTGGGGGCTCTGTGCAGGACCAGCAGGAGAGACGCTCTGTATGCGGAAGTGGGCTCTCTGATCGGATATAGCACCACCACCTGGTTAATTCATGTGTTGGAGATGTCCAAAGTGTATTAGCATAAAAAGGCTCTCGAGTCTCACAGCAGAGAATCCCATGCAGCTAATTCAGTGCTTCTTAAGTTTGTCTGCAGGACTCTCTCTGTACACCCGTCGTCCCATGGAGCTCCAGAGGGCAGCTTGAAAGATGCTGCTTTGCAGTTAAAGAATAGGATAATAGGAGAAGAACACCTTCCACGCCCAGAAATAGAGCCCGAGTTAGAGGCGGTGGAGACAGGAAGAGGAGGCAAGACTGGTGAGGTGGCGTGGAGCAATAGATCCTCAACCAGCGAATGTGGCTAATTCAATATTGATGTTCAGTGGAGTCGACAGCCGTGCTCCTGGCATAAAAGGCCAGGCAGGAGGACCAGTTTAGTGTGCCTGGGCTGTGCACCTTCTTGGGGAGGAGATGCCAACCATGAGGCCCTGTCCAGGCTCTGACACACTTTCCATCTTCCGAGGCACCAACCCACCTAGACATGAGACAGGAGGGAATTTGGGGTTCAGGCAGAAGGCAAATTGCCCAGTGATGTGAGAGTTCACTCTGTGTGCTGTGATTGCCATTAATGAATAAAGGAACTGCCTTGGCCTGTTGATAGGGCAGAACTTAGGTAGGCGGAGAAAACTGGACTGAATACTGGGAGAAGGAAGGTGGAGAGAGAGATGCCATGGAGCCGCCAGAGTCAGACCTGCTGAATCTTTGCTGGTAAGCCACTGCCATGTGACGATATACAGATGAATAGAAATGGGTTAAATTAATAGGAGAGTTAGCCAATAAGAAGCTAGAGCTAATGGGCCAAGCAGTGTTTTAATTAAAACAGTATCTGTGTGATTATTTCGGGTCTAAGATAGCCGGGTGGCCTGGATAACAAGTGGCCTCCTGCTACAGCCCAGATTAGGTAGGGGCTCTGGATCTGGTTTGTGTGTAAGGAAGCAAGGGGTCTAAATTTGGACTGTGACCTAGCACTCAGCTGGCTTTCCACAGCTGCAAACCACACAGGCTTTTGCTGCACATGGAAGCTGTGCAGGGGTCTGAGGTGTGGACGTGCAGGGCTGAGAGTTTCCACTCAAGTGTGGGGAGAGCTGGTGCACTGCTGTACAGAGGAGTGGAAGGAGGGCTCTCTCTCCCCTCCCTCATCTTGAAGGGGCTGTCTGATCTTCCCTGATGGAAAGGCCCAGTCTTGAGATTGAGATTGCGGTGGCGGTGTTTCACCATAGCCTTCTTGACTTCTCCGGGTCTCATGAGTGGAAGCCCACAAAGGGAGCTTAGACGCTGCTGTCCCTCCCAGAGGGAAGGGTTAGGAGAACAGCCCAGCCTAGCATCCGCCGTATTATTCAGGGCCTACTGTGCCCAGGAGGGCAGTTCTCACAGCCTTGCCTTATGCAACTTCACCCTAGAAATTAAGGCAGCCAATTTGCAATGATTGAAATGGGGCCTAGAGAATGCAAGTAGCAGGCCCAAGCAATATAGCAAAGTAAACCAGCAGTAAAGACATAAAACTCAGTAATTATTTTTTGGGGGTGGTGGTGGTGGTGTTTAGACCAGGTTTCTCTGTAGTTTTGGAGCCTGTCCTAGACTAGCTCTTGTAGACCAGGCTGGCCTCGAACTCACAGAGATCCGCCTGCCTCTGCCTCCAGAGTGCTGGGATTAAAGGCATGCGCCACCACTGCCTGGCATAAAGCTCAGTAATTTTAAAAGAACCTTCCAAGCCTCATATCTGTTCCCATGGTTCTTTGCTCTCCACCAGGCTCCTCACTGGTCCTTCATGTTTGTGCAATAACTAACAGCTTGCTTTAGCTTGGTGCTGACACAGAAACCCTCTCCCTTGTGCTGAGGTGTTTCTTGCTTTAGATCACAGCATCGTCGTCTGGCTGCCTCTTTGTCAAAGATCCTTCTAGGCAGATTTTAACTTGCACACTCTTGAACCACATCTGCTCCCTGCCAACATTCTGCATGTAGCACTCTTAACAAACCTCTGAGGAGTAGAAGTGTTGGATGGGACTCTGGGGCCAGTCTGCCTGGGTTTAAATACTGAAGCTGACACCTATAAGCCCGGTGACTTGGGGTAAACTGTACAACATCTCTGGGTCATGTCATCTGAGGATCTTGAAGATTTGTTAGTGTTTGCTGCGTGAGAAACACTACTCACATACTTGTTTTTTTAAAAAAAAAAAAAAGCAATTAAAATGCAGCCTAGCACTTGGGAGGCAAAGGCAGAAGGATTAATGCAAGTTCCAGGCCAACCAAATCCATATAGGGAGTTACAGACTTTCCGGAACTATAGACTGAGACCCTGCTTCAACAAAACCAAAACAGTACAAACATTTAAAAATGTATTCTATTTTTCTCTGTCCTTTTCTTTCTCTTCTTTCATTGTGATTTTGTGATACTGATTAATTCTTTTTTAACATTAAATCTGCCAAGCCATCCATTACAAGCAATTTCCAGGGCTCCATACTCTGGAATTTGCCTCACATATTAGAATAAGCCCAAGCTTGGAACTCTTCAGAGATCAAGAGCACTATCTCCCACAGAACCTGGAGCCGGCAGCCTTAGGTGAGGTTAGCCTGGGGTGGGTTATGTTTGTGAGAAGGCTTACACAACCATAAAGGGGTTGTAAAAGTGGCCAAAAGGTGATCAAGGCCTTTTCAACACACCTGTTGATCACAACCCACACAAAAGATGCTATAAACTTCAACTGCTGCCCACCTCCAAGAGGGCTCAAGAGCTTGGAGGCACACCTTACAAGTGAACTTAACTGTGCATGCTTGTGTTTGTTGGGTGGTACCTTCCATGCACAGAGCATGCCTTATGAGCCAGGAAGCAGAGTCCGGCCCATCTTGTATATGTCAGTGTACACACATTTACTTTTCTAGGAGACTTCATTTATTCCTGTGCCATACACACTTGAAGTGGGCATTCCTGAGGATTAGGTCACTGGGACAGGAAGGGCTTTTGGCCAAGTTCTGTCCTCCATCCAGGAGCCGCTTTATGAGTGTGTTCAGTTTGTGAGCAGAATACATAAGCTGGGTGTGATTTTATATTAGTATATGATACTTCCACAATTCCATAAAAACACCTTACAGAGTAGATATTGTAGATTACCGCTGTGTTTGTGAAAAAACAGTGGACACAACTCCAAAGTCCACAAAATGAATATATCATACCTATATGATGAAGGCTGTGTAACTCTTAACCAACAAGATAAGATACAGGAACTGATAGAGAAAGATCTGATACGGTGTTGGGTAAAAGGAAAAAGACATTATCAAGCCGCAGCACCTGCTCTCTGATCAGAACAGTAAACAGTGCCAACAGCCACCTGACCATTTGAACCTACACACAAGCGTCCATGGTGCTGAATGATGGCAGAGACCACTGTTGGGTCATTAAGACTGGGAAGAGAATAGATTTTCAACTTTTGCATTACACAGCTCTGTGCCTGTTTTCAACTTCATGTTTTTATAATCTGGAGATATTTTAATGATGAAAAGGTTCAGAACATAGCTGATTTAGAAAACAAAAGCCAAAATAAATATACAAACTCTCGTCCCTCACTGTTACGGGGGTAGCAAAAAGTCTGCCCAGCGAATCAGGATGGGACTGTTAGAACCTCCAAGGTATGCTCCAACCTGGAAGTTCTAAGATTCTACCAGAAAGGCCCAGATGGAGTGAAGATCAGAACAGCACTGAAGCAAACATACCTGTAAAATTTTGGAGTAACTGATCACAATAACCAGCCCTGGCACCAGGAAGTTGAAAGTCACAAAAAACACATCCCACAAGATTTCTCCTACGCGGTTGGGCCAATCCAACGTGCAAATCGGAATTTCCTGTTCACAAAAGGGAAAACAATATCACTTCAGTGCTGGCTTCTTCCTTAGCCTCTAACCCAGTTCTCGTTCCAGGCTGTGGGACACTATGTCACGGAGTGCAACACAGCTGCTGTGCTAGTGAATTCCAGAACCTTCTCCTCCTCTGCCCACGACATTTCCTCTTACAACCACCTGTCCCAGGTGCAGCCGGCTACCATAATTACAACTCTCACTCTCCAGGAAGGCCTGAACCTCAGGGTCATAGGCAGGGAAGAGCTGGAGGCATTTCCCAGGACTGGTCTTTCCACTTCTCTGGGCTAACAAGCAAAGAATATTTGAGCCTTCTCTTACAAGCTTGGTTATTTTGTTTGGTTGGCTTTGGTTTTTCGAGACAGGGTTTCTCTGTGTAGCTTTGGCGCCTGTCCTGGAACTAGCTCTTGTAGACTAGGCTGGCCTCAAAGTCACAGAGATTCGCCTGCCTCTGCCTCCCAAGTGCTGGAGTTAAAGGCTTGTGCCACCACCACCCAGCTACAAACTTGGTTCTTTAAATAGGAGAAACTTGATCGCAGAAAGGTCTCAGACTAGAAGTGACACAAGCATCTGGAGACAGGATTGAGGGTCCAGGGCAGCGACACATTGCTGAAACAGCAGGAGCTGGGATAAGGCATTGTTTACCTGGAGGGTGTTCAATTGCCTGTGTGTTAAGGTCAGGTACACACATGTAATCCAGCTCCTCTGACCATGGCAAGGAAATTGTAAGAACCAAGCAGTTTGAGACAAGCCCAGGTAAAACAGTGAGACCCTGCCTCAGGTAATACATATACATACATGCACACATACACACACACACACACACACACACACACACAATGGGGCTGTAGAGATGACTCAGTGGTTAAAAGAGCTGGCTGCTCTTGCACAAGACCAAGGTTTAGTTCCTAGCACCCACATGGCAGCTCACAATTATCATTAACTCCATTCCTGCCACATTCAATGTCCTCTTCTGGTCTCCACAAACACCAGGCATGCGTGTAGACACACAGACATACATGTAGGCAAAGCACTCACATGCACATAAAATAAAAATAAATCTTTAAAAAGCAGAAACTTGAAGTTCCAAAACAATAACAACAAACATCACACACACACACACACACAAACTGTCAGTCTCCCTCAAAGATAGGCTATCTCTCTTTAAGACACTGTGTGGTACCCAGACTTTGGAGCTCTCTTCCTCCCTGGAAATAGGACAGAGCATCAGGGCAAACAGCTAGAATGCTTGAAAGGCGTGGGGGTTTATGGTTGCACTGTGCTGAACTCAAAAGTGTGATACTAACTACAAAGCCGAAGTGTGAGGGGCCTACTGGAAGTTGGAGATCTATAACTGCAACCATTGCTTCCATTGAGTAAGCATGCCCGTAGGAATGGAGTATAGATGTGAACGCATCTTCCCACACCTGAACTCCTTGTGCCTACTTGATCATAAGAACAAAGGTGAGTAGAACACAATTTACCCCCAACCCTCCCAAATGTCAGAACATGTATTTAAGAGCACGTACAACGTAAAAGGTCATATCAATGATTTTCAATATAGTAGTATATGTATCTGAGCCACAGACATTCATTCATTTAACTATTGAATACTAAATACACTAGGGAAAAACAAAATTCTTAACATTTGCCAATATGAATCATAATTGAGTAAACTCAAAGTGTTGTCAAATAGTTTTATATCCAGTATTAGCAAGACACAGAAGCATTTCATATTCATTGAACATTTACTGTGCACCAAGAACTACTTCCTATATGTAGGGATGTGGTTATGTTTGCAATACCGTTATTGAAACTCGCATTATTAATTTTCCTGTTTCGTAGAAGAGGAAACTAAAGCTAGAAACATCCTTCAAAAGTAACAGTCTAAAACACTAATGGTTAATTGTTTACACTGGCAACAAATTGTTCCAAAAAGTATGTAGTTAGACATCAAGAGAACTACCAATAGCTGGGCAATGGTGGTGCACATTAATCCCAGCACTTGGGAAGCAGAGGTAGGCAGATCTCAGTGAGTTCAGGCACTACAAAGCTAGTTCCAGAAGAGCAAGGACCGTCCCACAGAGAAACCCTGTCTTGAAAAATTAATTAAATAAATAAATAAATAAATAAATAAATACCAATAAAACTTAGGGCAGGAAGAAAGAAAGAAAGAAAGAAAGAAAGAAAGAAAGAAAGAAAGAAAGAAAGAAAGAGGGAGGGAGGGAGGGAGGGAGGGAGGGAGGAAGGAAGGAAGGAAGGAAGGAAGGAAGGAAGGAAGGAAGGAAGGAAGGAAGGAAGACAGACAGAAAGAAAGAAAAGGTAGGATACCCATACCAGATGTGGCACCATGTACCTGTCATCTCAACCTTCACAAGGCTGAGGCATGACAATTGCTGTCCTTGACTACATAGTGAGATCCTGTCTCAAAACAACAAAATAAAATGTTCTAATTATAGCCATGATGTTTGGGTGGAAGCATCACACCAGCCCCTGGCATCCATATATCCACAACTCTGAGTCTAGAAGGTTCAGGTAGAGGCTCCATCCCAAGTCCCCTCCCACCAGAGTTCCCTCAGTCTAGACTCCACCCCTGAGAAAGCCCACCAAACGATGACCCCTCCCCAGAGATGCTCAAGACCGTGCCCACAGGGTATTTAAACTGCTCCTCAAAGAACAAGCTCCTGATTTCCTCAACTTTCCCTGGGACCACCCAGGAATGCCGTGCTCAGAATAAGCCTGGACTTATTAATTTGGTTTGATTGGCATCAGTGGCAAGGGGTTCCCATTTACCAGAATTTAAACCTAACAATGGGAGAGGAGGAAGTTGCTTCCCTTTCCAGCTTTGTTAAATAGTTGTAAATGGGGGGGGGGGGACATTTTAAATTCGCTCCTCTACTCCTGCCATCCCCAGCTAATGAGAGAGAACTTGTTAAATTGCTCCTTATTTTGGTGAATGAATAGAGACTTGTGTCTCTCTGAGATCTTGAGTACTGGCAGTTGTGTTACTGCTGTTACTGGAACAATCCATGCAGCCTCCAGTTCGAACTCAGATCTCTGCCCGCTAACCCTCTTTAGCACACTGGCTACCACAGATATAGACAAGTGTGCTGAAGCCCCAGTCAGGAAAAAAGGGTTCCAACCCTAAATGGATTGTGGTCTCTAATCCCTATATTTGTGAAAGAAAACGGTATCAAAGGGTAGGAAATTATGGCCTCAGAATGATTTCTTAAAGTTCCTAAAATCTTGTTCCAAAAGCCTCCTTCTGTGCATGGGCAATCACTCCTGGCTTTATGAGATCTTATAAGAAAATGCTGATGATAAAGGAAGGGATTTTCTCTACACAATGGGCCAAAAACAAGTCCCGAAGCTACACACCTGCCTGGTAGTTACCAGAACCATGTGGAACTGCATGTGTCTATCCTAATATAAAAAACAAACGATCAGATAAATCAAGCCAGGAGATTATGAAGAAAGGGATCCTGCTTATAAAGATCCTACCAGAACCACAACTATGATGAGTTGTCTACTTGATCTTGGAGATTAGGAAAGAATCACATCTCAGGGTGTACCTGGGAGAGGGGGTCCAGACAGGATTAACTAGGGGAGAAAGGCACCTCCCACAGCCTGAAGGCAGGTTGGAATAGGAGGGAAAGAGCGCTCTTAGTAGAGGCTCTTGGGAGAGCGCTGCATCCTCTCTACTTTCTGGCCCTTGTGATGCAAGCAGCTGTATCCCACCACCCCCTCCCCACCATGGCTGACTGCAACCTTAAGACACTCTGACCCAAACAAAACCCTTCCTTCCCTAAATTGTGACTTTTGGTCACAATGATACAAAATAGCTAATACAACTCTACACAAAGGCCACTCCAACCTTACACACTCACGAATAATTCAGGAAGGATATCAGCCTAGTAACTGTCTCTATCCAGGCCCAAATTGACAGCATCCCTGTTGTGAACCTTCCCAGGCAAAGCTCATTGTTTCAAAGATTTACATACCCCTCATTTCACCTTCTATAGCTCCCCCCTGACTCAATTACAAGATTTTCATTGGTTCTGTTGGTTTGTCTCATCTCCCTCCCTCCTCACTTCCCTCTCTCTCTTTATCTCTTCCTCCTTCCCCCCCTCATTAATTCAGGATCTTATGTAACCCTTACTGGCCTGTGATAATACAGTCTTTGCTATACAGTAAGAATTTTCTATACAGTAAAAATGATCTTGGATTTCTCCTGCCTTTTCTCCCAGGGGCTAGGATTACAGACCTGCACCTCCACACCTGGTTTATACAGGAAGTGCTAGGACTTGAACCGGGTGCTTCATGCCTGCCAGGCAAGCACTCTACCAACTAAGCCACATCGCCAGCCCCAGAATTTACCAATACTTTCGGTTAGCATACAAGGGAATGGATTTCACTCTGACATTTCCATCCATATTATTACTAGATTTTGTTTTTATTATCTCGCCAGAGCCCTCCCCACCCCACCCCCTGCTCCTCCTTTGGCTAATCCTCTTCTTCCCCTGCAAATATGGCATGTATTTCCTCCCCTCTGCTTTTAGGAATAAATTCCATTGCCCTCTCTGTTGCTCCTCTTCCCTCTTCCTTTACTTACATTTTACAGGGTTGCTATGCTCCTTTTTTTTTTTAAATTATTTATTTATTATGTGTACAGCATTCCTTCCATGTGTGCATGCATGCCAGAAGGGGGCGCCAGATCTCATTATAGATGGCTGTGAGCCACCATGTGGTTGCTGGGAATTGAACTCAGGACTTCTGGAAGAGCAGTCAGTGCTCTTAACCACTGAGCCATCTCTCCAGCCCATGCTCCTTTTTTTTTTTAATGAGAGAAAAAGAGAGTTTGCTTCAGGAAAAATTGGTTATCAGATACCAGCTTGCCATCAGAGTTGAGTAAACATGGCCAGCAGAGACAATCCGCTTACCCCAAGGAAGTTCCCAAATTCTTCTCATGAAGGTACCCTTTTGACTTC